ATGGAGTCTTGCTTGTTGCCCAGGCTGGAGTGCAGTCATGCAATCTCAGCTCACTGCAACTCTGCCTCCCGGGTTCAAGCTATTCTTCTGCCTCAGCCTCCTGAGTAGCTGGGATTACAAGCGCGCACCACTACACGCCCAGCTAATTTTTGTATTATTAGTAGAGACAGGACCATACTGGCCAGGCTGGTCTTGAACTTCTGGCCTCGTGATCCGCCCACCTCGGCCTCCCAAAGTGTTGGGATTACAGGTGTAAGCCACTGTGCCCAGCCAATTTTATTTATATTCTTATTCTGTTTATTGCTCATTTGTTTAGACTTTAATTTTTTGGGGGGAGATGAGGTCGCTCTGTGGCCCAGGCTGGAATGCAGTGGTATAATCATAGTTCACAGCAGCCTCAAGTTCCTGGGCTCAAGTGATCCTCCTGCCTCAGCCTCCCAAGTAGGTAGTACTATTGGAGTATGCCACCACATAGGGTTAATCTATTTTAATTTGTTTATTGCCTGTCTTCTTTTAGTCCATGGAATTTAAACTCTGTGTGCGCAAGGTCTTTGTCTTGCTCATTTTACAAACATAGATACAGGCTCTGAGAGGTATGTAACTTGTCTAAAGATACACAAATCAGTAAATAATAAAACCAGACATCAACTAAGGTCTGTTGACATTGTCTCCGTTGTACTGCTCCACAAGAATCCAGTCTGTATCCTGATGCTTCGTGGGTGCCACTGTAGCTCAATATGAAAACTGACAAACTTGAAAATGATCATAGCCAAATTTTCCATTAGTATAATTTTTGGGGTTTTTTTCTTAAGTAATTTCAAACTTTCGTTAATTAACATGTATTGCTTTTGTAGTCAGAAAAGATGACAGTAAATGTTATTTTAAAAATCTTTACCAGAATCATTTGGTCATATGTTATTGAATAACATAAACAATCTATGTGTTCTTCCTCCATTGGCTCATTTTGGTAATCTGTGTTTAATCAAGTTACCCATTTCACTTCTTCCTTTACTAAATACTTTTTCCCTTTACTTTTGTTTTGTTTTTAAGACAACTATTTTAAAATATTCTCTATTTAATGGCAAGTCTCAGTAATCAAAAGTTCCTGCAATCTTTAAAAACTCTCCATTATTTTCATTAACAATTACAGTCAGTGGATCTCAATATTTTCCTAAGACATCATGATTAACAGGAATACCTAATATTCTCAATTTGGTTGACGGAACTAAGGTTAGAGTTCTTTTTTAAAAGAAAATGTCTAAGAAAATATATGAAAGTCTACTCCAAATTTTTTTTGGTAAATGACATTTCAGAGGTTATACTTTTATTCATTAACTCACAAGAGCCTTCAGCTAACATAAATTTTTTTTGTGTTATGTAATTTTGCCCAATTATTTTCATTCTAGTAACTGTCAGAATGAAAATCTCCAGACTTATTATCACATTCTGCAGCCTAGTCCACAGTTGATTGGGCATCTAGACTTCTCCCTGATGGATTCTAGCCAAGACAAGCTCAGGAGACTCTTTCTACTTAACAGTTTCCATGGCCTGGCTCTAACCTCACTTCTGCCATGGAAAGGCTGAAATAGACATAAAGAGAAATCAGCTGTTTAGAGAAATCTTGACATAAGTAGTCAAATAAATAACACGTTTGCATATCTAATTCTAATAATAATAAAAAAGGGAATAATATCAGATCAAGGAAATTCAATTACCTTATTAAATGTAGTAAAGACAACTCAAACCCAACTGAGGAAAAACTACCACATATGCAAATGATTCCAATTTAAAGCAGATTATGATGAATACCATTCGTGAAGCACAATGAGATATAAACACTCAGGAGTGGTAAGGATTAGTTCCATGTAGTAGGAGGGAAGAAGGACAAGTCTTAAGAATAGGCAGCACTTTACAGGGTCTTGAAACAAATAATCTCTTGAAACTTCCTCAATTGATGGCACTTTGGCAATATTTATCAAAAGTGTAAATGCATATATTCACTTTGTCCCACAATTTCACTTCTGGAAATTTATCTCACAGATATACTTGTATTTGTACAAAAATAGTATATGTACAAAGTCATTCACTACTATCAGTGTTGTGACAGCAAAAGATTAGTGCAACCTAAATATCTGCCAATAGGAGACACTGATTAAATAAATTATATATATTTAAAAAAGTGAGAGTATTTAACAATCTATGAGCATTTTAACAATCTATGAGCATATTTTAATTTGATACCTAAATATTCAAATGAAAACAAAAGAGAAAAAATAAATTGAAGGACTAACAGAATTACAATAGGAAAAATGAGATGCATTTTAGGTAAAAAGAAAATGGTGAACAATGCAAAGAGGTAGGAAAGTATTGTTGGTGTTAGAGAAAAATAACTGGCATACTGTAGCAGACTGTGAGAGATAATAACAGAAAAGCAGGTTGAAGTTAGATTACAGAAGAACTTAAATGTCACGCCTGTAATCCCAGCACTTTGGGAGGTCAACATGGGTGGATCACGAGGTCAAGAGATCGAGACCATCCCGGCCAACATGGTGAAACACCGTCTCTACTAAAAATAAAAATAAAAAAATACAACAACAACAAAAAAGGTTAAATTAAGGTCTTCTTTAATTTGGTTTATAACGTGTAAATAATTGGAATCCATCAAATATTTTTAGGTTGGAAAGTAACATGATTGAGAAAATACTCTGGATAGATGATGACTCTAGTGGAAGTGTAACAGGCTAAAAGGAGAAGACAAATGAGTGAGGAAACTATTTTAACAATTAAAACAAGAAACAACAAAACTAGTACAAGGGCAGAAGCAGTGTGAATGTAAGGGAGGGAATGTATGTTAGAGACAGGATGAACTCCTAGGAGAATAAATCAAGAAAGAAGAATGACTCTAGGAATGAGCCCTGGCCTATTGCTAAAAAAGGGAAAGGATCAGGGAAAAAAATGCAAGGAGAACTATGTAATAGAACTCCCAATGGAATTAAGAAAATATCTTAATTCAGCTGAGATTCTGAAATACTGAGAAAAAAGACTTTGAAATTTTTTCTTAGGTAGGTTACTACAGTCCTAGGCACTAGAAGTTTCAGGTGAATGGTTAGGAAGCAAGCAACAGGAGAAAACATGTCACTCCAAGAGCTTCAACACAAAGAGCCAGTGTGAGATGCAAGATGAAGGGCTGAAACTGGGAAATGCCTTAAAAGCAGGACACATACAAAAAATGAACGGGCAGATTCAAATAATCAGGTAAACAGAAGTTCAACTCTGAAATTATGAATCAAAGTATTATAATATATTTAATTTAGGACTTCTTTGTCCCTCACAACCCAACTTAATGTAACTAATACATCTTAAAGGTGATAAAGAATCGAGGCTCTCAAAACCAACTTCATAAAGTGGAGTAACAGATACACTCCATCATTCCCTCTGTAATGCCTTCTGACTGATGGTCCTACACCATAAGATTGGTAAATAAATATACGTTTATGTTTTGAGGAAGTTCCTTCATGGGCATAGAATAGTTTTGTATCTAGATTATGTTGTTGATGTCTTAGTCCATTTGTGCTGCTATAAAACAAGCTTGCCCAACATGTGGCCTGGGATGGCTTTGAACACAACCCAATACAATTTCATAAACTTTCCTAAAACATTCTTTTTTGTATTTTTTTTTTTTTTTTTGGCTCATCAGCTATTGTTAGTATATTTTATGTGTGGCCCAAGACAATTTTTCTTTTTCCAATGTGGCCCAGGGAAGCCACAAGATTGGACATCCCTGCTATAAAGGAATATCTGAGGCTGAAAATTTATAAAAGAGGTCTATTTGGTTCACAGTTCTGCATGTAGGTTGTACAAGAAACATGGTCCAGTATCTGCTTCTGGTGAGGGCTTCAGGCTGCTTCCACTCATGGTAGAAGGCAAATCAGAGGAGGTATGTGCAGAGGACACACGGTAAGAAAGGAAGCAAGAAGGTGAGTGAAGGGGCCAGGCTC